CCATAAATATATCAAAACTTAATTTCTGATTAGTAATATGCATTGCTAAGAACTTCATTTGGACAACTTTAAAGATAATTTTCTCAGTATTTAGATTTTTTTACACCCTCAGATTCCAGATTTTCAAATAGTTATATCTCGGGCTAATATTGTCCTATCCTAACAAACCATACATCAATGGAAGACTTATTTATTCAGCTTTCAGGTGATGTATAAATCTCAATTTCGAAAAATTTGCCCTTATGACTGGTTTTGTGTTCCAGGGTCACATATAAGTCATTATGAAACCTTGTATGTACACAATAAGTGTCATTAGATGCATATTTCTGTATGTTACACACACACACACACAACCTACATACCTCATTACATTCATTCACTAATATTTGTTTGTTTAAAGTGTTATTCTTCTGCGTTATTATTTTGGATAATTTGAAGACTTTCCACCATTGGATCACATCATATGCTTACAGTAGTGCATTAGCTGTGGGATGTTGAGATGGAGAAATTTGCATCAAGGACAGGACGCATCACGAGCTGTGTTATTGGTGTGTGTGGACAATATACATTGACATTGATTCAAGGGTTGCCATTGTTTTAATCATCCCACTGTGAGGCTTTATAGCTGTGCATGCCTTAAGTGAACTTGATTTGGATTGAATGTAAGTGAACTTGTCTTTAAACTGAGTTACCTTTAGTTGTTGACTTTTTTTTGGAAAGTGCACCAACGATTGGGCGCTAACGGCTAGTCAAAAGAGTGTGTATATTACAAAGACTTTAAATAAGAGACTGTGACTGAACTTATTTATTATGTTATTAATTCATTTACATTTACATATACATATATATTCAGCAAATTGATCAAATTTGACAATAAAGACATTTATAATGATGTGAAAGATTTACATTTACATTTAGTCATTTAGCAGACGCTTTTATCCAAAGTGACTTACAATTGGGGAATACATCAAGCGATTCATCTTAAAGAGGCAAATAGACACAGGAAATGCTTGTCATATCAAGTTTCAAGCATTGTTCAAATAAGTAAAAGAAAGACAGAGAAAGATGAAAGAAAAGAGAAAAAGATTAAAAAATGTTCAGCTGGGAATCAGCATTCCGGATAGGGGTTGGAAAATCATTCCACCAGCCAGGAATGGTAAACGAAAATGTTCTGGAAAGTGATTTTGTGCCTCTTTGTGATGGTACAATGAGGCGTCGCTCACTAGCGGATCTCAGACTTCTGGTGGGAATGTAGATTCGTAAGAGTGAGTGGAAGTAGGCGGGTGCTGAGCCTGAGGCTGTTCTATATGCAAGCATCAGTGTCTACTTGTTGTGAGCCGTAACCGGCAGCCAGTGCAGGGAGATAAAGAGAGGTGTGACGTAGGCTCTTTTGGACTTGTTAAAGACCAGTTGTGCCGCTGCATCCTGAATCATTTGTAAAGGTTTGACTGTGCATGATGGAAGTCCAGCCAGAAGAGCATTGCAGTAGTCCAGCCTAGAAATGACAAGGGCCTGGACAAGAAGTTGTGCAGCATTAGGCATTAGGAAGGGCCTGACCTTTCTGATGTTGTACAATGCAAACCTGCAAGATTTAGCAGTTTTTGCAATGTGGTCTTTGAAAGTCAGCTGGTAATCAAAGATTACACCAAGATTTCTGACCGAACTTGATGGGGTAATTGTTGATGAACCTAACTGGACAGTGAAGTCATGCTGTAGATTTGGATTGGCCGGGAAGACAAGAAGCTCAGTCTTTGCCAGGTTGAGCTGTAGGTGATGTTCGTTCATCCATGCCGATATGACCGCCAGGCAGCCTGAGATCCGTGCAGCTACCTATGGATCATCTGGTTGAAATGAGAGATAGAGCTGTGTGTCATCAGCATAGCAATGGTAGGAGAAACGATGTGCCTATATAATGGGTCCCAGTGATGTAGTGTATATGGAGAAGAGGAGGGGTCCAAGAACTGATCCCTGAGGAACCCCAGTGACCAGTTGATGTGCTTTGGATACCTCCCCACCCCAGGCCACCCTGAAAGACCTACCAGTGAGATAGGATTCAAACCAGCAAAGTGGAATACCTGTGATGCCCAGTGATGAGAGGGTGGACAGGAGTATCTGATGATTCACCATTTCAAAAGCAGCAGATAGCTCCAGCAAAATAAGAACTGATGATTTGGAATCAGCTTTTGCAATCCGCAGGGCTTCAGTGACTGACAGTAGTGCAGTCTCAGTTGAATGGCCACTCCTGAACCCTGACTGGTTAGGATCCAGTTGGTTGTTCTGTGTAGGAAATAATGATACCTGGTTTAAAACAACTGGTTCAAGTGTTTTTGCTATGAAAGGAAGGAGAAAGACAGGTCTGTAGCTGTCTGTAAGTGAAGTGTTTAATGTAGGTTTTTTGAGCAGTGGGGTTACCCGAGCCTGCTTGAATGCAGTGGGGAAAGTGCCTGTGAGAAGAGATGTGTGTGAGTGGTGGTAAAAGTGTAGGGTAGATTGCTGCCTCAGTGAGGGGACAGAAGGGGAAGGGGGAAGTTTTAGGCGTGGATGTGTTTGGTTTGAGTTTGTGTGTGTGTGGAGCTGAGAACTGACTACTGATTGTTCTAGATTTGTCTGTGAAGAATGTGGCGAAATCATCAGCTGTTATAGAAGTGGTGGGAGGTGGTGGAGGGGGACAGAGTAGAAAATTGAATGTTTTGAAGAGGTTACGTGTGTCTGTGGCACTGTTGTTGTTGTTGTGAATATATGAAGATTTGGCAGTATAGACTTGAGCAGAGAAAGATGAAAGCAAAGACTGATACATACAGGTCAAACAGATCTTTTGATTTGTGCCATTTTCTCTCTGCTTCCCTGAGTTTGGACCGATGCTCACGAAGAACATTGGATAACCAAAGTTTAGAAGGGGTATCCGGTGCTGGCCTGGAGGAGAGAGGACCTATATTGCCTAAACAAGAAGTTAAAGTAAAGTGTCAGTTGCTGCACTAACGTCCAGAGATGAGAAATGGGTAGGTGAGGAAAGAGAGGAAGACACTACAGAGGAAAGATAGGAGGGTGAAAGGGAGCGCAGGTTTTGTCTAAAAGTAACAGGTAGAGGGGTTGGTGGCACACAGGTAGGATGTAGGTTAAATGTAATGAAGAAATGGTCAGAGATGTGTAGGGATTTTACCAAAATGTTGTCTGCAGTACAATTGCGTTTGTAAATTAAGTCAAGTTGGTTGCCTGATTTGTGAGTGCTTGTA